AATGAAAGAGCCAAACTGCAGTTAAAGTCCAACATTTAATAATTTGGGAAATAATTCGACTACAGATGTCCATGTAGGTTAAACACCATCACTTTCTCCTGTCTGTGTGGGTGTGTATTTTGACTCTGAAACTCGCGCGTGCACAAATAGACACTCCCACACCATCCCACTTTAGTTCCTCCGACACTCCCCCTAAACATAGCTGGACACGCCCACTTTTCTGACTTTTTCCAAAGTAGAGGTGTGAAAACATCCTGCTGAAACGAGGGGGTTTCATGGCCCTTTAAACACCGGCGACTTCATTGAAAGAGGAGAGGGTTTAAGTTCTCTCGACGGGTCTCCTGCTTCTGCAGTTTAACAAGCCTGTTTTTTTCCGCTTGGCAAGCCAAGCTGACATGGGGGCGTGGCAGCATCGACGATTCTATTTTTTGATTTGATAATCGAAATTGAGCATAAATTTCGATTAAAAATCGAAATCGTGACACCCCTAATAGATAGATAGATAGATAGATAGATAGATAGATAGATAGATAGATAGATAGATAGATAGATAGATAGATAGATAGATAGATAGATAGATAGATAGATAGATAGATAGATAGATAGATAGATAGATAGATAGTCACAAAGTTTGATTCAATGTTAAGTCAATGACAGTCTTTTGTAATGAAAGTCAATGGGACAGTTGCTAAGGTGCAGTATGTAGTTAGGGTGTGGCTAGAAACTTAAAAGTTCATCAATTCACAGACTTTTTCATCCTCCAGACCCCTGACATGTGGAGTTCCACAAGGGTCTATACTTGGACCTATTTTATTTTCTTTATATATTTTACCTTTAGGATCAATTTTTCGTAAATATGGGGTGGCTTTTCATTTTTATGCTGATGACACTCAGATTTATGTCCCTTTTAAAAGTAGGGATAAAAAGGAGCTTGACTCCCTTATGAGATGCCTAGTCGAGGTTAAGAGCTGGCTTTCGTCAAATTTTTTAAATTTCAATGAAGAAAAAACTGAGCTGGTCTGGTTTGGCGATCCTAACCCTCTGCATTTATCAGGTTTTGGTGAGCTTTCCACTTATCAAAAACCTGTTGTTAGAAACCTAGGATTTCAATTCGACAGTGATCTGAAATTTAACAAACAAGTAAATACAGTTGTTAAATCCAGTTTTTACCATTTACGACTTGTGGCAAAAGTAAAGTCGTTTCTCTCTTTTAATGACCTTGAGAAGGTGATCCATGCTTTTATTCTGGGAAGACTTGACTATTGTAATTCTCTGTATGTGGGTATTAGTCAAAATGCCCTAAACAGATTGCAATTAGTACAGAATGCAGCTGCGAGACTTCTGACAGGGACTCGCAAGTTTGAGCACATATCCCCAGTTCTTTCCTCTCTGGGCTGGCTGCCTGTTAGGTCGAGAATTGATTTTAAACTATTGATCTTTGTTTTTAAATCCTTAAACAATCTGGCACCATCATACTTATCAGACCTGCTACACGTATACAATCCTGGTAGGTCACTGAGGTCTTCAGATGAATTTATTCTATCTGTACCAAGGTCCCGGTGTAAGCGAAGTGGGGATCGGGCTTTTGCTGTTGTCGCCCCAAAACTCTGGAACGGGCTTCCGCCCCACATCAGACACGCTCCAACTCTACCTGTTTTTAAAAAGCGTTTGAAACACCATCTTTGTTCCTTAGTATTTGAGCCTTTTTAATGTTGAGGGATTTGCCTTATGTTTTAATTGTTATTTATGTGATGTAGATTTCATGTTTAGTATTGATTGTGTTCAGCACTTTGGGCAACGTTGTGTTGTAAAAAATGTGCTATATAAATAAACTAAACTAAACTAAACTAAACTAATCAATTATTGGCAGTTTGGTTGTCTAAGTTAAATGACCTCAGCCATAAGTCGATATGACAGTCTGATGCAAAGTTATGAGCTCACAAAGTTTGGTCCAATGTTAAGTTTATTGGATTTTTCCGGCGTTCCCATGACGTTTTTCGGAAAACCGAAAGTTGGATCAGTCGGAAAAGATATAGCAACCCGAGTCAGAATAGTTTGGAGGTCTGGAGTGAGTTTGGTGGTCATAGCTCGAAAGCTCTAGGAGGAGATAGTCTTGCAAATTTAGTCTCAGAAGAATAAAAAAAAAAAAAAAAAAGGATTTCAGTAGTCTGGCTTTGACAAGCCATTCTAATTATTAATATTATTATCAAATTGCAGTATTTCCTTTCAATTTAACCTATGCCTTTAATATGTACAACAAGAAACAAAAAGAAAGAGCTTTGACTGCATACTCTGAATGTCTGAGTTCATCAATTACATCAGGTTTCCACTTTTTTTCTTGTGCTTGAATGCAAAAACGGCCCTCTTATAAATTGTCAGTCACTAATATGGCCCCCTGCCAATTTAACTTTGAGACCCCCGACCTATAGCATTATGTCTTTGGGCAGCGAAGGAAACTCATTCATTAATTCATTCATTAATTTTCTTGTCGGCTTAGTCCCTTTATTAATCCGGGGTCACCACAGCGGAATAATCCGCCAACTTATCCAGCATATGTTTTACACAGCGGATGCCCTTCCAGCTGCAAGCCATCTCTGGGAAACATCCATACACACTCATTCACCACAGACAATTCAGCTTACCCAATTCACCTGTACCGCATGTCTTTGGGCTGTAGGGGAAACCAGAGTACACGAAGAAAACTCATGCTCGAAGCTTCGACCTTCTTGCTGTGCTAACAACTGAGCCACTATACTTCCTGTTCAATAAAAACATCCTGGCATAAACCACTTTCTCAGTTCAGTTGAACAGAAACAGCCACTGTGTTCCTAAGAAGAAAGTCAGACCGGGTTTTAAAAGCCTCAAGGGTGATTTTTCATTTTCTAGCGGGCTAATTCTCCAAAGAACACTTTCAAGACAAACTTGAGAAGCTGTAAATGTGCTTTTGTGTGTATATGCTTGAAAGCCTCCCCGACAGTATCGATTACCCAGATGCTCTGAGTATTTCTGTGCTTTCTCTCAGAGGCAGTTCATTGTTAGGGTGTGACACTCGCAAGAGCATTAATACCTGAGCTTCCAGCCTGTTTCTCTTCAGACTACTGTCCCATGTCAGTCTTCCTCTCTCTCTCTCTCTCTTTCATTAACTGCTGCTGTCAGTGGGAAAGACCACTTTTGTAAGCCATCTAATTCCTGCGACTCGGCTGGCAGCAGTTTCTGCAGCGCAGCACATAATCAGGTCTCCTCCTTAAACTCGGCAGGAGTCGAACCAATTTGTCTCGCACAGCTGGAGATCATTGTTTCGATCTGCTCCGCGGGAAACCAGTCAAACTTGGTTGAAATGTTCAGCTCTTGCCAACGTCACTCGTGTGATTGGAGACCTCGCTTTTTGCTAGATGGCCAATCATTGTCAAGGATGCGTAACATCATATGCATAGAGAGCGGAGTTACTTTGGTCTGCATTTGCTGTGGTGTTGAAGGGCTTCTCAGAAGAGGTGTAACAGATCACGGTTGATCCGTGATTTATACAGATCACAACCTTGAAAACTCATTCAAACCCTTGCAAGTTCTGGCGTAAAGTTACTTTTATTCAACCTGCAAGTTTTCTTGTTTTTTTTTTTTTTTTTACCTAAATGACACTGGCTTAAAGTTCTGTCTAGTTCTTCAATCTGATTGGCTGATAGCCAATAAATATTCTGCAATATCGGCACTCGCACAGCCTCTTCATTCTTGTGTTTAACTCCGCCCACATAGAGTGACAGATCAAAAGAAACTCTAAAGTTTGACGAAAATTGCAGCTGTTGGACAACATAATGTACTTTGTGGGATTGTAGTTGTTTGGATTGCAATTATGCAGTTTATAAGGCTGGTGCCTATTTTAAATATTCATAATTTCGGAGATAAAGCATGTCGACGGCTATCAGCCTGTCAAACTGAGCAGAGCAAGGACAATTGATGTTTAGCCTTATCAATTAAAATGTGAGCACACTCTAAAAGCCGTTGAGTTATTTATTAAAACCGAGTGGTTGTGTTTAACATATTTGTTAATATATAACAATAACATATTTAAAATGCTTTGTTGGGTTATTTTTAACCTTTATTAGGTTATTTATTAATAACTCAACCAGCTGGGTTAAATATGTAGCGCTTTGCCACATCGCCCTGCTGCTCGTGTGATATTGTTCATTCATATATATATATATATATGCTCAGCATATATAAGTACACCTCTAACAAATCATATCTTAAATTAGAACCTAGGTTTAGGTTTAGGTTTAACTTTATTTGTCCCCGAGAGGAAATTTGTCTTGGGCATAAAAGGTGCTACAACATTGTCTAAACAGACAGTAAAAATAAATAAAACAAAATAATTAAGAACAAACAGTTAAGAACATACATTGTTTACAGAATAAGACCGTATATAAATATGAATATATAAAACACAGAACCCAGTCAAGTGCTAGCGTACTGCAGGAGCAGTGTTATTGGTAGAGTTCAACAGTTTTATGGAGGTAGGAACAAACGAAAGCTTCAGTCTATTAGTTTTACACATTGGCATTCTCAGTCTTTTTCCTGATGGTAACAGCTGATATTCACTGAAAAGGGGATGTTTAGAATCAGTGCTAATACGTATCGCTCTTTTTATAGCCGCCTGTTCGTATAGAGTCTGGATGGGCTCATATTGTTTTATCCCTATAATTTTCATGGCTGTTTTTTGCATATGAATCAATTTATTTTTCAACTGAACAGACATAGGTTTCCAAACCAGACTCACTGTTATCCCTAAAGTTGAATTAATTCAAAATATTTAGATTCAATAAACATAAATGCCAAAGTTTTTTCTCAATTACTCTATTTGTTTAGTTTGTTGTACGATTTGGATGATATTTTTGATTCTACTGGAATGTTTAAATTGAATGTATTTAACAGAGCTTATTCTAGTCTGTTGTCAAAGGAACGAATTGGAAGGGCAAATGTGACAGGCTCTTTGAACTGACGTCACTGGTGGAGACCGCGTGAGCGCGCATTTTCTAATGTCTGTGCTGGACACTGTGAGTATTAGTACGATTTCATACTTTCGTCCCAAACAGCTAATACATTGTGTTTTGTTTAACAAAGTATGTAGCGATTAGAAAGAAAACTACATGTAAGACTAAGCTGTGTCTAACGTTAGTTTCATGTTAATTTTTGATATGCTATTGTTCTGGTCTGTCGCAACCGCCATTACCACAATTATAAATAGGTCTAAGACGTTCAAAATGCCAAGACATGCGTAATAGGGTTCGTGACATGTGAAATATAGTATGTAAAAAGGTTAATATAAGTTTTGAATGTGTAAGCGTGTTCATTTTCGCTACGTTATAACCGATCGCGGCCGCGCATTCTTAACGTTATATAAACGTAGAGTTACCATCTAACATTACGTGACAACATCGTCACATCTAAAGTTTAATGTGGACGTTGCATTCGATAAGTTATCCTCATTAACAAAAGCTTTATCTGTTTTGTAAACTGATTACTTTTTTCAGTGATGGTAGCTCTTATGGCGGCTCACTTGACTGCGGTTCAGAAATGTTTAGCTAACGGTTAACATTAACGCGGATAAAGCGCAAATTTATCACTGACCTATTCGAGCTTTTTATATATATATATGTATATATTTCTCCGTTAGTGAAGTATTAAACGTAGATTGCAATGAGATTTGACCCTTTCTTTGCATGATAGAAATATGAATCCATGTTAGCAGTTTTCAAAGATATGCAACCTCGTGCTCCTCAGCATGGCATTAGCAAGTGCATTTTCAGTTAATTCGATTGAAAAGCTAACGTTAGATAAATACCTGTAGCACTCTGAATATTTTTGTGGTTAACAATAGCTGTTTGTGGAAAATTTCGTGATAACAGATCAAAATATGTAAATGTGTTGTGTCAGCTCGTAATCTAATGTGTATTTCTGTAATTTTGCAGATTACATAAAAAGCAGATTTGCACATTACAGAAAAATCAGAGCAAAGCCAACCAGGATGAGCTGGAAATGTAAGTATTGCACATTTTCTTGTGACAAAAGAGGGTACTTATTAAAACATTATAGAATTAAACATGGGAGCTATGCAAGAAGCCAACCATTTCCATGCATATATCAGGAATGTTTGTGTACGTTCAAGTCTTTCAATAGCCTTAAAATACACTTATCTCGTGTTCATACAGAAAATGAAAAACAACAGTCTAAAACGATAATTAAAGTGAAGTTTCGCTGTCAGCGTTGTGATTTTTTTTAACCCTGTCAGATTACTGAATATTTTGCCCACCTTCAGCGTAGACATCTCAAAGACCACCAAAAAGTTCAGTGTCCATTTCAGGGCTGTAACTTTGAAAGCAGTGTATGTTCCACATTCAGTGCACACAAAAGCAAGCATCACAAAGATCAAAATGAGACACTGTTTAAACCAGAGTTAATAGTAAGGATAGAGAGTAATGAGACTGAAAATGACAGTGTAGTTGACACTCAGGAGGAGCATACTGCACAGGAGATGCTTCTAGGTGAATTTGACCAAGATGTTTTGAATGCAGAAGCAAGCGAGACACAATCTCAAGATTTAAGACAACAGTTACAATTTAATTTAGCTGCTCTTTTTTTAAAAATGCAAACCATCCTTCACATACCAGAGAGCTCGGTTCAGGAAGTAACTCAACAGCTTTGCCAAATAATTCAATTGTCCCAGCCACTTTTGCAAAAGAACATAAAGGCTGTTCTTCAGAAGCACTTTGGACATGTAGATGAGGCAGTTGTGAAAGAGGTGGTTGAGGTTGTGGCAGAAAGTGACATATTGTCTAAATCATGTGGAAAAAATGGATGTCTTGCAACTAGTAAAAGAAGAGCATCATATGTAATGCGCAACTTTGCTCTGGTAATGCCTATGGAGTTTGTAGTTGAGAAAGGCAGAAAAACTGTAGCATATGTCCCCCTCTTACAGATGCTACAGAAACTATTGAACAAAAAAGACATTTTGGATAAGGCTATGTCAAGACACGAACATAAACCAGATGAATACAGGACATGTAGTGATGGCTCAGGCTTTAGAGGGAATGCCCTTCTTAGTAGTGATGAATTCACAATCGCTTTGGGTCTATATATTGATGATTTTGAAGTGGCTAACCCTTTAGGAACATCTAAACGAAAACATAAGATGTGTGCACTTTACTGGGTCATTGCAAACTTGCATGGAAAATACAGATCCACACTAAACTCTATTCAGCTTGCTCTCTTGTGCAACACTGAAATAATTAAAGAGTATGGTTATGAAAGAGTTCTGCACCCACTTCTTTGTGATTTAGCCACTCTTGAACAGCATGGTGTCTACATTGAGCATCTTGGTAGAAGTGTTAAAGGAACGGTACTCTATGTGTCAGCAGATAACCTTGGTGCTCACTCTCTTGCAGGATTTTCTGAAAGCTTCATTGTGGACAAGTTTTGTAGATTTTGCATGGCATCCAGGACTGATGCACAACACAAAGAGGTAAGATCTGGTGCATTTCAACTTAGAGGTAGAGATACACACAACAGGCAGGTGCAAGAATCACTGCATGATCCAAATGTATGTAGAGAAACAGGTGTGAGACGACAGTGCCCACTCACATCAATTTTAGAACATTTTCATGTCATTGGTGGTTATCCCCCTGACATATTGCATGATGTTTTCGAGGGAGTGGTCCCAGTGGAGTTGTCAGTTTGCCTCAAAGACCTGATAGCAAAGAAATGCATCACTCTAGATGTATTAAATGAAGCCATCAAAACATTTCCCTATACGTTCACAGACAAAACTGATCAGCCTCAGATGGTTTCAAAGGGCTTCTCAACCAAGGGCACAATTGGGGGAAATGGCCATGAGAATTGGTGTCTGATTAGGCTTCTTCCTTTTCTTATTGGCCATAACATTCCTGAGGGTGACAACACATGGGAAGTGCTCATGCTCCTCAAGGACATTGTTGCATTAATTGTGGCACCTCGCTTTACTGAAGAGTCATTATACATCCTTGAGTGCAAAGTGGCAGAGCATAGGAATCTTCTGCAGTCAACCTTCCCTGACTTTACACTACGACCAAAACACCACTACATTGAACACTACACTGAACTAATTAGGGTACATGGTCCACTTACTGAAGTCTGGACAATGCGTTTTGAAGCGAAACATAAGTTCTTCAAAAAGGTTATACGTGATGCTCAGAACTTCAAGAATGTTGCCATGACCCTTGCAGTGAAACATCAGAGGGCTCTTAGTCATCAGTTGGACTGCAGTTCTTTTTTCAAACTGGGTGTGGAAATGACCAAGGTTACACAAGTGTTAGTTAACACTTTCCCAGAGAACATTCAGAGAGTTCTTGGTCAAAAATTCCCTCAAACTCATACACTTCTTGTTGCACCATCTGTCTGCATTAATGGGATTGATTACAAGACAGACATGATACTTTCAGCTGGATCATGCTCAGGGCTACCTGATTTTAAACAAGTAACTCAGATTGTTGCAGTAAATGCAGAGGTACATTTTGTGTGCAAAGTCATGACATCATGGTATTTTGAGCACCTTCGTTCATATGAGCTTTGCTGCCCAGTTATGCCATCTTTTTGTGTGCTTCAACTTGAAGATCTGAATGATATTATTCCCCTGTCAGCATATAATGTACATGGTAAACTGATGGTGACATTGAAACGTTTTATTCTTTGCTAAATTGGTTCTTTTGTCATTTCCCTCTAGATGGCCTCTCAAGAAATCATGATTTTGCGCGTTATTCTCACAGAAGCTGATATCAGAAAAGTCACACTGACTTCAAAGCCATGTTCAGTTGAAGATTTGATCAACTGTCTCAGAAACACTCTTGGACTGAACTATAATTTTACATTGCAGTTTCGAGATCCTTTCTTTGATCATGAATTTTGCAATGTAACTGCTTTGGAAGAGCTCCCTGAGAAGCCAACAGTAAAAATTATCCCAGTGCTTGAATTGGTGTCAGTGGCAGAAGATGAAATGCAGTCATCAAGTGAAATATCGAGTAATGCTCCAAGTACTGCAGATACAGTACTGATTTCTGAATCACCCCAGAAAAAGAAAATGCCATGGCCTGATATCTTCTTGATTCCGAAATTTTCGGTCGACGTTGAATTCAGGCTGCGTCAGGCCAATTTAATCTACTTGAAGGATGGAACGCATCTAAAAATGACAAAAGAACTGAAACATGACATTCTTCAGAAACTTGCTGAAACCATATACTCCTTCAAAGCATACCCATCTGCTGACGATTTAAAAGGTGTTGCAAAGGCATTGGTGAATACCCACCCCTGCCTTCAAGAACCAGGATCGCCTTCTGGACACTGTGGGTGGACAAACAGTTTGAAAGACAAAATGGGAAATTACAGATCCAAAATGAGAAGCCTTGGGCACACAGATGTCACAGTTAATGCAGGAAAAAGAGGAAGATACTCTACTAGCAGTGATCCACCTAACAAGAACATAAAAAAACCAAGGAAAGGAGAGGTCAACTATCTACCTAACCTTCCAAGTGGTCATGATACTTCCAGTCTTGAGTTGCTCAGACAGCAGTTGGCAGATGAAACGAAGAAAAAAAAACCTGATGCTACCTTCATTAATCAGAATATGGATGTGACTCTGTCTTTAAGAAGACAGGAAGTTGTGATCAACAAGCCTCCTGTAAGCCAGATACTTCAGCGTTGGCCAGCACTTTTCACTGAAAGTCAGGTAAAGTGTTTGTAATAAAACTAATACAGTATTGATAAACATGATAACATATTTGATAGTTGTTCATTTTTAATGTTTCTCTGTTGTTAATTTACTTTTTGTGTTTTACTACTACAGGTGTATCAAGAATTCAACCGAATAGTTGGGAAGAATCTGAAGCAAGAATTCTATGGGTCTCTTGATCATCACTGCCCACAGCTGATTCAGATCTTCAGGTCAAAGAGAGGTCTCACTGGACAGATTTTAAGCAGTCTTCTGCTAGATGCCAAGGTTTGTATATGCAATTGTTTGTACATGCCATTGATATAAATCGATGCCGTTGTTTCCTGTATTTTGAAATTGATATAATTACTTTTGAAATCCTCAGTAACAGACACTAAATAATGATACATGAAAATTGCCTTTCTCTCATGTTGACATGATACAATGTTTCTCTGCAACACCTCAGGCCTCTGACCTCAGTGACATGCGATGTGTTGTCGTTCGAGGGCTTCCAGTACTTCTTGGTGATGACCCATCTGAGTTTTTCAAATCATGTTTTGTAAGTATCATTGATAAATTTTTTTTGTATATTAATACAAGTTTTTTGTATTATGTTTCTTAATGTGCATCTATATTAGCAATAACAATAAATAAATCACCCAAACAATGTCTTATTGTAGTTCATTAATAAATGGAATAATGATAAACGAGGAATTCGAATTCATGTTATAACACCTTTAAAACTCTAATATGCTAAGTAGAATAACATCAAATCTTTAGTAATTTAATTGTATCAAATAATTTAATGCCGTATGCAATGACTCGTATACAAAAAAGCCATTTAATGTTTTGTGGTATCTTTATGTTTTATATATTATTGAATACTGGATATGTTTGGGGATACAATTCACAAAAATGCTTTAAATACAACTAAAAAAATATTCAATACAATTAATATATATTAAAATCAAATGTACACCTCTAAGATTTATTTTTGTTATCTGTATATTGTTGTCAGGCTTCTGATGATGGAGACTCATACCAACATGTGCCCGTTGGAATCCTTAACCGGGAAAATGAAGATGCTCTGCAACCCCTGTCCTTCCGCCTCCACCCATCCTCAGTGGGAATCATCTTGGAAGGGAATGTTGTAATGGACAATATAGACAACATACCCCAGGCCATGTGTCTTCTTTTTGGTTTAACTTATGCACTGCACCTAGACTACCCAAAGTGCATGGGCAATACCCTTCTTTTCATTCAACAAGTTCTGCTGGGTTTGGGTAAGAAGGAGCTGAAGGGTAAGATTCTGGCTGTCAAAAATCAACTTGCCATGTAAACAGGTACAGAAAAGTCATGTTCCTTCAGGCTTGCTGTTCTGCTGTAACTGTGATGGAAAAGTGTAAAACTTTGCCTTAGTGTTTGGCAAGTGTTAATGTTCTATAATGATACGGTGTAATGTAGGATTGTCACAATACTGGAATTCGATACCAATTGGTACTGAAATTTAAAAAATGTTCATTCCCGCTTACATTCAAGTGCTGTTGAGCGTGTTGTTAAACAGCACTGATTTGCCATTGTGTTCACATGCTCAACAGAAATGACTGTGAAGGTGTTCGGTTCACCTAACTCACCACTTTTTATTGAGCGTAAACCCAGATACAGGGATACTGGAGTGTTTAAAGTCAAGTTAATCAGCTGTCTATAAGCTGACAAGCGATCCGCTGATGAATTATGGCTTTAAAACGCTCATGGGTCCCTGTATCTGTGTTTACACTCAGTAAACAGCAGTAAGTTCAGTGATCCGATGACCACAGCCATTCACAGTCATTTCTGTGGAGCACGTAAACACAATGGCAAATCAGTACTGCTTAAGAATGTGCTTAACAGTGCTCAAATGTTAGCGGGAAATAGACTTTTTTTTTTTTTAACTTCAGTACCGATTGGTATTGAATTCCAGTATTGTAAAAACCCTTGATATACTGTGGTTGTTTAATATTTAAATATGTTTGTAAAAACAGTTTAAAAGGTTTTAAATAATTGTTTTAATACGATTTATAGTAATAAATGAGTAATTGTTATACAAGGCATTTTCTTGTTTTGTCACTTGTTTTTAAAAGTGATATTTCTAAGTGATTTCAAATAAATTGTAAAGTAAATCTTTCATCTTTGTCCTTGTTTGTAATGTAGGTGCATTTTCAATAAATCATTTATAGTGAATTGTTCAGGTTAAATTAATATCTGTCAACATTTAGGTCAACATTTTATGTTTTAAGCCTATTCAGGTTGATTGAACTTAAAAAAATTATGGAAACTCGCTGCCCTAAAAAAGCTAATTTTGTTTTGTTGAAAAAACAAGACTTTTTAGGTTTATTGTACCTAAGATGTCAATAGTGTGCACTAAAAACCTTTATTTAGGTCAACTGAATGTTTAATTAAATGCATTTGAAATAATGAGTACAATAAACTTAAAAAGTTTCGTTTTTTCAACAAGACGAAATTAACTTTTTTAGGGCAGCGGGTTTCCATAATTTTTTTAAGTTCAATCAACCTGTACGGGCTTACAGTGCTGTGATTCCATAGCGAATAAGACTCTCAAACATAGCTCGGTAAAAAAAACCTATATTATATTTTTGTATATACATTAGATTACATTACATTAAATCTGGATCTTATCAAACAAAATAACTTATGATAACAGTCTAAAAACTAGTACACCCAAATTGAGGGTATAAAAGTATCAAATAAAAATTTTTAAAAAGATGAAAAATCAGAAGCAGCAAAAAAAATTTAAACTTGGTTGAAATTTTGTATATTGTATTGATTGATTTATTTACTTTTTTTTTTTTACAATATTTAGCTTGAACTCAATTGTATTATATTTTGTGCAATGTAATTTCTAAAGATGTTCAGTGACTAAAATATTATTTTAATAAATATATCTGTTTCATAAATCTGTTCTGTTTAAATGCACCAAAGTACACAAATGGATAAAAATAAGTATTTTCAAAATGGGGTGTACTCAATTATGATGAGCAATATGTACTGTACATATTTTTTTTTTTTATGTTTTCGATGAATTATTTAGAAAAAATAAAGGGGTATACTAATTTTAATAAGGAGTATACTAATTTATTCTTGGCACTGTACATACAGTATACAATTATTTTATTTCCAATTAGTGCTGCTGTTATAGCAAATACGTTCTTAGATAATATTAAAATTACTTAAATGTTGTTGATTTAATCAAGATATTCTAAAGAAATTCAAAACAGGCCTTTTCTTATTGGGAAAATGACAACAAGAACATTACCTGTTATATCTGAAACAAATATAAATGGTGTTAAAAGGTCTAACATATTTTAACATTTAGTTTATTGTTACACGAAAGTCCATGTTTTTAATGAAGAGACTATTTTTTAAAAGCACGTGATGTAGGGATGTAAAAAAAATAATCAGTATGTTTACAGTGCATTTAATGCCACTGCCGCTGACTTGAACTGTGTGATAAGAATTTAATATGAGCGAGATGACAGTGTCTGGGAATGAAGGAATGTAATAAGACGGGCTGGATCAGAGAGGATCACAATCAGATGTCTTCAACATGTGACATCATGAAGCAACATGGCATCGCTGGTTCCAGATTTTGCGGAAGCGGCTCCTAAATCCAACTTGAATGAATCTGGCAAAAGAAAGATTACAACGGGGAGCAAAGCAATCAGCGTGGAGCAAAAAAAAACTTAAAGAGAACTTAAGTGAACATTGCGTTAAGCTCCTTACACTGCTTTGGTTAAAAGCTTGAAAGCATTTGGGGCAGTTGTGAGCAGAGAATGCTGAATAAAAGACATCCGATTCATGGTCGGTCTTTTTTATAATATAAAATGCCTGATTGTAGTTTCTGAACACAAAATCTGATATGTAAATAGTGAAAAGTGCAGCAGATGTGGCAAGAATTTTAATTATAAAAGATTTAAATCCAAACATCTGGGTCATACATGTTATAACTGCGCATTAATAAAAGCAGATTCTTAATTAATGATGATTTATTCCTGAGTACATTATTCGCAGTGAGCTCTCATATATACACTGTGGGCATCTACCCTCACCAGCAACTTTATTAGGTACAGCTTACTAGTACTGGTTGGACCCCTTTTTGCCTTCAGAACTCCCTTGATCCTACGTGGCATAGATTCAACAAAGATAGTGGAAATATTCCTCAGAGATTTTGCTCATGACATAGCATCACACAGTTGCTGCAGATTTGTCGGCTGCACATCCATGATGCAAATCTCCTGTTCCACCACATACCAAAGGTGCTCTATTGGATTGAGTTCTGGTGACTGTGGAGGCCATTTAAGTACAGTGAACTCATTGTCATGTTCAAGAAACCAGTCTGAGATGATTCGTGCTTTATGACATGGCGCGTTATCCTGCTGGAACGAGCCATCAGAAGATGAGTACACTGTGGTCCTGAAGTGATGGACATGGTCAGCAACAATACTCAGGTAGGCTGTAGTGTAGACACGATGCTCAATTGTTACTAACAGCACCTAAGTGTGCCAAGAAAATCCCCCACACCATTACACCACCACCACCAGCCTAAACCACTGATACAAGGCAGGATGGATCCATGCTTTCATGTTATTGACGCCAAATTCTGACCCTAACATCCGAATGTCGCAGCAGAAATCGAGCCTGTGCTAATTGTAGCCTCAGCTTCCAGTTCTTAGCTGACAGGAGTAGCACTCGGTGTGGTCTTCTGCTGCTGTAGCCCATCCGCCTCAAGGTTGGGTGTGTTGTGCGTTCAGAGATGCTCTTCTGCATATCTCGGTTGTAACGAGTGGTTATTTGAGTTACTGTTGGCAGCTCAGCTCACACTCACACTGAAATGGATGCCCGTCTGGCCATTCTCCTCTGACCTCTGGTCGACATGGCATTTGTGCCCACAGAACTGCCGCTCACTGGACCATTCTCTGTAAACCTTAGAGATGTCTGTGCGTAAAAAATCCCAGTAGATCTGCAGTTTCTGAAATACCTAGCCCATCTGGCATCAACAACCATGTTTTCCGGATATTTACCGGTTTCACTTTGTGAAAGGGGTTCATGTCTACATGCCTAAATGCATTGAGTTGCTGTCATGTGATTGGCCGATTAGAAATTTGTGTTAACGACAGGTGTACCTAATAAAGTGGCCAGTGAGTGTATATCTTCTATAAGTAATTCAATAAAGGCCTACAAAAAAAAAATATGGGATCCATCTAAATCCTTCATGTTGTCCCAAAATAAATCAATTAAGCCCAGCCGGGACTCAAACCAGCGACCTTTTTGCTGTGAACCACTGAGCCACTGTGCTGCCCAAATTTACTCATACTGTGCGTATTTTCTGATCATATGGTTTAGAGATGATAACTTTTATCTAGCATGTGTTACTGTTATCTAAAACATTTGTACAGAGACATATTGGGTAGTAACAGTTACATTAATTCAGCCAGAGTAAATAGCTATCTATAACGACTTTAATTTACATTACAAACCGGCATGCATGCTATTATAATCCACTCAGCACCTGCTTTCACTGAAAATACTGTGAGCAAAAGTGGATCGACTGTGTAATCAACAGGTTATCGTAGTGTAATGCATTCAGCATCAATGAATTAAGTGCTGAAGAACACTTCAATGCGACCACTTAAGGGCATGTGTACTTGATTTAATTCAGATGAATTACAGTCTAAATTAGCAGCTACATACAATTTGTGCATCTCTATGCATTTTTTGCTGCATATGATTCACTGGGGAATCAGTATGGAATAATTCTGAACTCCCTCAAAGAGTTTTCTTCAGGGAATGTACACGCATCCCTATATAGCAAATTTAGGGGCCTGGATAAGTTGCTTAAAGTCCAAGTATACTTTAATAGTTTTTACAGCCTACATGCACAGCTTCATTTTTAGGCATTTGGCAGATCTGCAACATCTTTCCTGGTCGACTGAAGTGTCAGTGTGCAATCTCTAACCCTGAGTTTTAAATGTTTTTGTGTTCTTTCCTAATAGGGTGTACAAATGAGGGTACTTTCTAATCTCTCACCATCGGTGGTGGAAATAAAGAATGCTGAAAACTCAAGTAAATGTAGCATTAGCTGCCAAAAAACGTAGTGCACAGAGAGTAACGCCCCATTCAAACGGAGCTTCAGTGTCAATGCTTGACAGAGAGCGTGTCTGAAGTTGACTCGATCGTCATAGCAGCGTCGGCCAATGAAATTAGTCAGCAATTGGCTACTGTCTGAGCTGGTGTATTTGCATACAGCGATCTGATTGGCTGATGCTTCCATCGACGCTTGAAAAGTTGAGAAGGTCCCAAATTCTGCAGTGAGTAGCGGCACCGACGGATCCACAATGCAGTTCGGCAACGCCTGACGTCACCCATTCAAAGTGAAAGGGAAGCGTTGACTCTGAATGGTGCATAAAGGTGTCTTTTGTAAATGCTACTCAATGTCCGAGTAAAAAGTAGCTCTTCTTAAAGTATTCAAAAGTAGTGTTACGCTGTGAATACACTGGAAAAGGTTGATTGGTAAAATTGTTATTATGACTTAAATCTGAATTATCACCGCTTAGGTCTGTAGAAATTACATTGTTACAACAATAGGTGGCAACAAACAACAATTTAAATGTGTGCCACTTTATTCATTCTTTAAAAACAATGAATTGTGTTGGTGCCAATGGTGTAGTGGTTAGTGCGTCAACACATGGCACTCCGCTGATCATGGCGGCCAGAGTTCGATTGCCGCTTTGAGGTCCTATGCCAATCCTTCCCCTCTCTCTGCTCCCCACACTTTCCTGTCTATACTCACAATTGTCCTATCAACTAAAGGTGAAAACCCTGGAAAAAAAAAAGATTAATTGTAACAATGTAATTTCTACAAACTTATGAAGTCATCGTCGGGACTTATTAAATCATGATTTTGAGTTATTAAATCATAATTTTGACTTTTTATCTCATAATTGAGGTAGTAACACGTAATTCTGACTTCGTAAAGGGGGACGTGGTGCGTTGCGCCATGACGGGCCATGTATTTTAGAATTTTAAACAGATTTCTATCAGGGTACACACACCGGTGCCGCAAGTCAGTGGCTGTCCGCAGCGCCCAGCTATGATTCAGGACACT